GGAAAAAAAGGCCTCTTAGTACTACGGGACAGAAAGAGTTAAAAATAGGGTACAGAGGGTAGCCAAAAGTTAGTTAGGCTAATCATCAAGATTATGATTCGGTCTCTTCCAACGTATAATAACATACAGCTGTTTCAAACTTGTAACTGTTCTTTAATTAAAGATATATCTTTGTTAACTAGATTTTGGGCCGCCCTTATATTATATTTGCCATTTACGCATATAACACATACTGTATAACATAATCGTTATGTTGGTAACTAGACATCCCCTAAAGGAATGTAACCCTCCGAATTTTAATGTATTTCTATGGTATAATTGACTGTAAGTAGACTATTATCATTCAGTGTTGGCCGAATGATAAGGAACGGGCCTAAAATTTTTCCAGGTAATCGTCTGAAAAATTCCTGAGGATCCAAACGGGATTCGAAAACGAGTTTCCAGAAAAGAAAAGAATAACCTACTTTCTCGAGTAACGAATATAAAATGTAAGAGTGTAGATATTCACTATTGGTTAACTGAGTTGAGGGCCACCCTATATACTGTACTGTACATAACTACTATATATTTTTGAAGAAAATATTATTAATTTAAATATTTTATATCAAAGCCTTATAGTTTCTATAGCTATTTGTTTATCTATTTTCTTTTCAGTAATTTATTTATTTAGTTTTTAATTTAAAATATATGTTATCCATCTCAAATTAGTAGCATCCTGCCTCTGTACATCTTACTTTTCCTGATAAAAACAGAGTCATGCCAGTCATCTATATAACTCCATTCAGGAGAAAATTTTTGAATTGAAATCATATAACTTTCACTTGGGACCAAAGTGTGTATATAATTAATTGGGGCCTCCTGCCCATATTATTTCCATATCTGATCTTGGCTTTATCTATCTAATACCCTTCTCAAGATTAAGGAAGGACAGACAGTCAGTGGAAATTTATAGATCTACAGTTTTTCAAATTGCAACCCAATTATGTAATGACATAATCTTATTTAGACTCCAAGGGCAAAGGGAGAGATTTAGTTTAAGTGAGATATGGGATGGGGAGAGGGCATAAGTTTCTATAAGAGAAAATTTTTAATTGTTTTTTAAATGGCGTAACATCAGTTACATAAAAAAAACCTAAACAATTACAGCAGGTTCTATAAAAAACTTACACGAACGAGTTTATAATGGATTTATAAGTTTTACCGATACTACATTTTAGAACCATACATGACATTTGTAACCTGTAACGTACGGCACACATCAAGGACAGAAAATGTAACATTGTTTGCTAAAGACAAATAAAAAAACTAAAACCTGGCCACGATGCATGCATCAGATTATGTTCACATTAGTAGCCAAATTATCCTTGGACCCATGTTGTATATGTACAAAATTTCTCATTCAGCCTCATCATTTACTCAACTTAACAGAATCTGTATTTGTAAGCTTGATTCACTTAATTTTATGAATGCTTTAACCTTTGTAGAGAAAAATTCTCTCCAAGTAATGTAATGATATGTTAATGATTCTGAATACTGAGACATCCATTGTTAATACTTATTTATACACAAAAGAAACTGATTTAATTATAATTAAAAATCAATCTATTTAAACATAAATATATTGACTCAAATTATCAAAATTTATTTCTAGATGTTTTTTAAACGAAAATATATTTAAATAAGTATAAATAAATATTAAATTCCAAACTAAATTTAAGATTTACACGCTCATCTTTTCTAAGAACACCAAGAGCATCAGCATCTTTATCTTCTTTATCTCCTTGCAGTTACATTTAAAAAAAAATGAATGTCAAAAGAAAATGATAACTTTTCTATTGTTTAATAATAAAATTAAACATCGCATTAAATAATATATTTAAATAAACTTACATATGTATATATATTCATCCTAACGAATAGGAGAATCTCTTTGTCATACTGTACAACTGAAATTTGCTAACAATTTATTTTCATCAGTTTAAATAGTTATTCTTGAAAACCTAGTGTTGATGGTATAACAGAAAAGTGAAGTTTAAAAGAAAAAAAATTGTTTATTGTGTGGATAAAGACATTTTTTCAAAAGCATTTAGTAATAATTACAGATCTAAACTTAAGATGAAGTTTAGATCAAACTCCGGTCAAGCGTACATCATGTCTCTGGCAGATATTCAACAATGTTTAATAATGGATGGTTGTATGCCAAAAGGTGTGACTGGGATTGACTCAAAGTCTAACATAAACCATTGTCTAAGTTTAGATACACTTGTTTCCTAATCAACACTTAGTTTTTTTTTTTTGTATATAAAACAATACAAGAAAATGAAATATGTATTTGTTTACAAAACAAAGTAGTATGTTGGCAAATTATAATATGATACTATCAAAAAATAGTCAATTTTTTTAGATTTAATATTATATATACTTAAATAAACTTAATTTAATAATAAATAATAATAATATAGTAAAAGTAATTGATATTTTCTAGTACAGTATATTATGTAAGATACATATTTATTAAGTTAATTATTAATCGGTTACATAATAAGTTTAGCTCATTATCAAAAATTCTGAACAATGGTAAAAGTAATTCATTTGCTGAATTTAATTGTTATTAGCTTTTATTTGCAAATAATGCTCAACCATAAAAATAAAATTATCATAAAAATCCAAATAAAAAGATTATACAACTAACTATTAATTATTAATTTTAATAAATTAGCATATTTATTAACTTATTATTGTTTGAATTAGTAATAAATATGTGTAACAAATTTGTTTGTTTCTCTTTGTCAAGTACTTATACTTTTTATAGTAGGCCTAAAGTATGATTAATAATATCCTATAGCAGGAATGAATAAATCAGTCTAGAAGATAAATCTCTCAGAAACACAGACACATGTTAATTAACATGCAGAAAATTAAGATAAATAACAGGCTATAAAGTGATTTAAATACTTTAATTAAGATATATTTAAAACAATTAAAATATATTAGTTCTAATGCATCATTCTATAAAATTACACTTGCCGTTTCATTTTATCTAACTTAATTACCTGTACAGAGGCCTATTGTAAAATATAGATAGGCAACACTTGGTGCTAGAACACTAAGTAATAAACCACTTGTAGCTAGAAGTGAGCCTAAAATAGTAACTGCACGGCAGCCATATTTATTAGTTAAACCACTGGCAACTGGACCTGTCAAAATAAATTAATATCAACAAATTAAAAAGTGCTCGACTGTATAGTAAATAAAGATAACTACAGTGTTTCATAATTTTGAATTTACTTTTAGAAATTATCAATACATTACCAATACAAAAAGTTGTTCCGACCATAATAGAAGCAACCCAGGCAGTTGTTCCCTTACTTTCACCGAAATATTTAAGAAACTCTCCATAAAATATGCCAAACGTGTACGTCACGCCGTCTGCAACGACATGAATCATGAAAGACGAAAACACCACCATCCAGCCCCATCCTCCATCTGGAGGAGCACTCCTGCTGACATCGCTGTCGCTGGAGTGTTCGGCAGATTCCCGTTGTTTCGACGTCTTCATCCTAACAAGGAATGTTTCAGCCACTACATTCCTTTGTGAACAGGCTTATTGCAATTTTAAAACAGCAAGAACTACTTCTACAATTCACCATTTACATTTTATAATAGCTGACCTGTAATATTAACAGATTATAAAAAAATTAATTAAATATTTAGTTTAAATTAATAAAATTAAGAATTTAACCATTTTTAATTTAAAATTTGAGAAAAGTATATACTTAATTTACTTATTTAATTTTCTGAAAATACTATGTATTGATTAAGCTATAACTTTGAAATCTATTAATTTTAATAAGTTTCTACTATATATTTTTGAAGAAAATATTATTAATTTAAATATTTTATATCAAAGCCTTATAGTTTCTATAGCTATTTGTTTATCTATTTTCTTTTCAGTAATTTATTTATTTAGTTTTTAATTTAAAATATATGTTATCCATCTCAAATTAGTAGCATCCTGCCTCTGTACATCTTACTTTTCCTGATAAAAACAGTCATGCCAGTCATCTATATAACTCCATTCAGGAGAAANCGTACATCATGTCTCTGGCAGATATTCAACAATGTTTAATAATGGATGGTTGTATGCCAAAAGGTGTGACTGGGATTGACTCAAAGTCTAACATAAACCATTGTCTAAGTTTAGATACACTTGTTTCCTAATCAACACTTAGTTTTTTTTTTTTGTATATAAAACAATACAAGAAAATGAAATATGTATTTGTTTACAAAACAAAGTAGTATGTTGGCAAATTATAATATGATACTATCAAAAAATAGTCAATTTTTTTAGATTTAATATTATATATACTTAAATAAACTTAATTTAATAATAAATAATAATAATATAGTAAAAGTAATTGATATTTTCTAGTACAGTATATTATGTAAGATACATATTTATTAAGTTAATTATTAATCGGTTACATAATAAGTTTAGCTCATTATCAAAAATTCTGAACAATGGTAAAAGTAATTCATTTGCTGAATTTAATTGTTATTAGCTTTTATTTGCAAATAATGCTCAACCATAAAAATAAAATTATCATAAAAATCCAAATAAAAAGATTATACAACTAACTATTAATTATTAATTTTAATAAATTAGCATATTTATTAACTTATTATTGTTTGAATTAGTAATAAATATGTGTAACAAATTTGTTTGTTTCTCTTTGTCAAGTACTTATACTTTTTATAGTAGGCCTAAAGTATGATTAATAATATCCTATAGCAGGAATGAATAAATCAGTCTAGAAGATAAATCTCTCAGAAACACAGACACATGTTAATTAACATGCAGAAAATTAAGATAAATAACAGGCTATAAAGTAATTTAAATACTTTAATTAAGATATATTTAAAACAATTAAAATATATTAGTTCTAATGCATCATTCTATAAAATTACACTTGCCGTTTCATTTTATCTAACTTAATTACCTGTACAGAGGCCTATTGTAAAATATAGATAGGCAACACTTGGTGCTAGAACACTAAGTAATAAACCACTTGTAGCTAGAAGTGAGCCTAAAATAGTAACTGCACGGCAGCCATATTTATTAGTTAAACCACTGGCAACTGGACCTGTCAAAATAAATTAATATCAACAAATTAAAAAGTGCTCGACTGTATAGTAAATAAAGATAACTACAGTGTTTCATAATTTTGAATTTACTTTTAGAAATTATTAATACATTACCAATACAAAAAGTTGTTCCGACCATAATAGAAGCAACCCAGGCAGTTGTTCCCTTACTTTCACCGAAATATTTAAGAAACTCTCCATAAAATATGCCAAACGTGTACGTCACGCCGTCTGCAACGACATGAATCATGAAAGACGAAAACACCACCATCCAGCCCCATCCTCCATCTGGAGGAGCACTCCTGCTGACATCGCTGTCGCTGGAGTGTTCGGCAGATTCCCGTTGTTTCGACGTCTTCATCCTAACAAGGAATGTTTCAGCCACTACATTCCTTTGTGAACAGGCTTATTGCAATTTTAAAACAGCAAGAACTACTTCTACAATTCACCATTTACATTTTATAATAGCTGACCTGTAATATTAACAGATTATAAAAAAATTAATTAAATATTTAGTTTAAATTAATAAAATTAAGAATTTAACCATTTTTAATTTAAAATTTGAGAAAAGTATATACTTAATTTACTTATTTAATTTTCTGAAAATACTATGTATTGATTAAGCTATAACTTTGAAATCTATTAATTTTAATAAGTTTCTACTATATATTTTTGAAGAAAATATTANTTATCTAATTTAAAATTATCCATCTCAAATTAGTAGCATCCTGCCTCTGTACATCTTACTTTTCCTGATAAAAACAGTCATGCCAGTCATCTATATAACTCCATTCAGGAGAAAATTTTTGAATTGAAATCATATAACTTTCACTTGGGACCAAAGTGTGTATATAATTAATTGGGGCCTCCTGCCCATATTATTTCCATATCTGATCTTGGCTTTATCTATCTAATACCCTTCTCAAGATTAAGGAAGGACAGACAGTCAGTGGAAATTTNAGCAATTATTTGTTATGACATTGTCACAATGCTGGGCTGAAATTTTTAATCATATTCTTAATTTATTTAATTTAAAATATATGTTATCCATCTCAAATTAGTAGCATCCTGCCTCTGTACATCTTACTTTTCCTGATAAAAACAGAGTCATGCCAGTCATCTATATAACTCCATTCAGGAGAAAATTTTTGAATTGAAATCATATAACTTTCACTTGGGACCAAAGTGTGTGTATAATTAATTGGGGCCTCCTGCCCATATTATTTCCATATCTGATCTTGGCTTTATCTATCTAATACCCTTCTCAAGATTAAGGAAGGACAGACAGTCAGTGGAAATTTATAGATCTACAGTTTTTCAAATTGCAACCCAATTATGTAATGACATAATCTTATTTAGACTCCAAGGGCAAAGGGAGAGATTTAGTTTAAGTGAGATATGGGATGGGGAGAGGGCATAAGTTTCTATAAGAGAAAATTTTTAATTGTTTTTTAAATGGCGTAACATCAGTTACATAAAAAAAACCTAAACAATTACAGCAGGTTCTATAAAAAACTTACACAAACGAGTTTATAATGGATTTATAAGTTTTATTGATACTACATTTTAGAACCATACATGATATTTGTAACCTGTAACATACGGCACACATCAAGGACAGAAAATGTAACATTGTTTGCTAAAGACAAATAAAAAAACTAAAACCTGGCCACGATGCATGCATCAGATTATGTTCACATTAGTAGCCAAATTATCCTTGGACCCATGTTGTATATGTACAAAATTTCTCATTCAGCCTCATCATTTACTCAACTTAACAGAATCTGTATTTGTAAGCTTGATTCACTTAATTTTATGAATGCTTTAACCTTTGTAGAGAAAAATTCTCTCCAAGTAATGTAATGATATGTTAATGATTCTGAATACTGAGACATCCATTGTTAATACTTATTTATACACAAAAGAAACTGATTTAATTATAATTAAAAATCAATCTATTTAAACATAAATATATTGACTCAAATTATCAAAATTTATTTCTAGATGTTTTTTAAACGAAAATATATTTAAATAAGTATAAATAAATATTAAATTCCAAACTAAATTTAAGATTTACACGCTCATCTTTTCTAAGAACACCAAGAGCATCAGCATCTTTATCTTCTTTATCTCCTTGCAGTTACATTTAAAAAAAAATGAATGTCAAAAGAAAATGATAACTTTTCTATTGTTTAATAATAAAATTAAACATCGCATTAAATAATATATTTAAATAAACTTACATATGTATATATATTCATCCTAACGAATAGGAGAATCTCTTTGTCATACTACTCATAGCTCGGATGTTATGCAGGAAAGCACCATTTAGTAGTGCTGCATCCCTAAAGATGACGCTTTACGATGACGTCAAAACGAACGATACCCTCATCAATTTTGTTCCGGGTTTATTAATTTTTTTTTATTAATATATTTATTTTTATTAAAATTTCCAAAGTATTGAAGATATCGAATAACAAATCACGTATTGTCATACTTTAAAAAAACGTGTGTTGCTAAGGGGTTGATCAATATTTATAAGGGCGGAAGTGAACGTTAATAAATTGCTTGTATTTATGTGTGTGTGTGTGTGGGTAAAGGTGGATGATTGGCAGATTTTTCTAGAAAAACCCACTAAATTGCAAAATGATGTATTCAAGAATACTACTCGACCTTGAACGCACTCGTAATGACTTGCAATTCACGAAGAAAAGCGCAAAAATTAACACGTATATTAACTATTTTATACATATTTTTCCCTACACCCTAGCAAAATAAAATAGGTAAATTATACCTGTTAATTTATTATACCATTTATAGAGCGGGGGGGACTTTTCTAAGGTGATAAAAAAATGGAAAAAATCATTTTAAAAATGTATTCGTGAGGTTTATATTTAATTATTATAAAAGACATAATTCAGGTTTACTATTTCAGTTTGGTTCCGAGAATTATCGATCATATCTGCAACCTGCAACGAAAAGATCATTGACCAAAAGCATAAAATTAACATACGTGGAGATTTTATACCCGTATTTTTAAATGATGTAGGGTGAAGAATAGAAGCTGTATTGAATAAAAATCGCCGCCATTTTTTTTAAACAGATAGATTTGAGTATAGAGTAAATGTTTGAGGTTTGGCTTAGCCCCATATTTTAGTAACCTTGACATTACTGACATCGAGCAAACGAAAGGACGGATGGGTATTTTTGTTGTCGACAACAACGAGACCTTGTAAAAATTAAAAAATAAATAAATAAATAATAATAAAAACCAAACAAATTGAACTGTCCTTGCTTTAAGAGAAAGTAAACAAGACAAGTTTATGGAAAAGTGTATTGAAATTTTGAAAAATAATCGATAGAAAATGGAACGAGTGATGATGAACTTAAATAAAATTGTAGCTTGTTGCTAGGTCGTTCGTCTAAAACGGGGTTTCTATCTGACAGGTTGGTTTTGCTGTGACTCATACATATTCTGAAATACGCGCAGAAGTGTAAATCAACTAAAATTTTCCAATGGCAAAACTAAAAATAGATACTCGACTAATTTATGTTAATAAACACTAGAAAAAGCGTAGAAAAACATCGGATTCTGTATTTAAATTAAACAAAATTTAGCACTTATTACACTTATTACTGGGCTACAATTGTTCTGTGTTAAACACTTAGTGTAATAAGTGTTTAGACCAGCACAATTTAGTAGAGAGTAAGGGTGTGTAAAGTTTTCTATCCGATTGACTTAAGTTTCTATGGGATATTCGTTACGAAAGATTGATTTAAAGGAATTTCACCCTTAGGTAATTGAATAATAAAATGACTCTATTTACGATTGTACTAAAAAACCTTAGCAACAAGCGATCTATAAAGACGTAGTTCAAACTGGCTACATTCCAGAATAAAGAATATGGAATTTATAAACGAATAACAATATTGAAATAATTAGAATAAATAACATGGTGCGATTAAAGTTCGTTTCTATTGGTTAGAAAATAAAATCGTTTCAAGAACGTTAACAAAGGATCGACGATAATTAATTTAAAGATACAAACTACACGTAGAACAGAATTAACACTACAGTCAGCTGTTTCTAAAACAAAGAAAACACTAGGATAAAGACCGTTACGTCATACTAATAGGGTGTTAAAAAGCATTTTAAATTAATTCGAACTCTATAGAAAAAAATAAGGATAATAAATAGGTTAAATCCTAAATTATTTTATTTTATTTTTACGACCTAATTATATTATTACACACTTAAAAAAAAAGAAAAATAATTAAATTAGGCCCCTATATTGATTTTAAAAATCGATATTATTAAGAAATTTCTTTTATATTTAAAAAAAAAAACAATAAGAAAAGCGAGGGTTATCTTAAAGTCATTACCTTTCTTTTGTGTGCCTGTCGATTGTGTTGTTCGGTTCACGTGCTTAACAACTGACAAGAAGAGTCAGCTGTTATTCTCACTAGTGTTGAATCGTACGGGAAGTCTCGCGGTTTAGACGAGAACACGAGATTACGATGACTATGTCAGGTGACGGTTCACTCAACCCTTACACTTTCGTCGTAACACGTTTAAAACTCTACCGAGAATAAAGAAGAAAAGAAAAATGTCACCCCCTTTTTTTTTTCTATATATTAAACTCGTTTGCTTAAACTAAATTCCATTATAAATTTAATTAATTCCGCTGGAATGGACACTAGTCGAGTAATTGGCGCTCTCTGCCATCAAATCGAATTTTCTTCTGGTATTTACTCGATTATCTTCAGTTAATTTCGTTGAAATATTCGTTGATTTTAGAAATTTTTCGCTTTATTTTCAAGGAAATTTTGTCCATTTTCCTGGATCCGAGTGGTGATCGTATTTCATACCTGTATAATTAATTATATATATATATATATCCTTTGGTTCTAGTATATTACCATAAATAGATAATTAAAAGTTATTTTTTCGTGATAAAATTCTTAGAAAATTTCACTTTTAACATTTCTTATAATAACTTTAGTTACTTAAGCTACAAATTCTATGAAATTCTATAGCTAAACGCATTTAACGTGTTGGTTCCCAGATGTTACTTTAGATAATGACGCTTGTGTATAACGTTCCTGGCAGTAACTGGGATGATTTTTACAGGGGGGGTCGAATTTGAGGAACGAATGAGGATGATGCAATACGTGACGCAGGCCAATTAATTCCAGAAAAACAAAAATTACTCTCGTTTGTTGCTATTGGCTACATTTTCCTTCTTTTAACAAAGGTTAAAAATTCCGTTTTTATCAAATATAATGGATTTAAAAAGTTGTAAATAAAAATATCGGATATAAAATCTGTCACGTGCTAAAGACTTCCCTTTACGACCGGATATTTCGTTTCTAAATTATATGATATACTTAATGACGAAATCAATCGAAGTACTGTACGATATTTTATTAACATAGTTTACTTTTTAGATAAAAATTAGTATAAATATTATATACGAACTCATACTAAGCTATAAGATATAACAGGCTCTTCCCTCTGTTGGAAGAGAAGGGCCTGTTATATCACCAGCAACTTAGAGCCTCGCATGTATAACTTGAGGTCTTAAGCTATAGCTTGTTTAGCTTACGTGCAAATCGGGCCCTTAATAATTCTTATAGTGTACTGTACACTTTCTATATTATTTAAGGGAGGGGGAATCGCTTAAAGATGCGTCATTGTATACAATAGAAAGTGAGGGTGTCAAGGCATTGTCTATGTGAACTTTTTTAATGATTAGATTCATGGATAGGGCAAGGCACACGTGGGCTATCTGCCAAGAGAGAGTTTCTCCCGGGAGGATTTTTACAAGGAACTGGTCCTTATTAAGATGATAGACACGTAAAGAAAACACGTTGGTCAGGTGCGAACCCACTAACAACCAGCATCCGATAGTTTTATCCACGTGGCCATTGGTGGAGACTTTTTTGTAGTGACATAGAATTTGTTCTTATAAGCCTACTTACTACTAATGCGAATAAACTACAAGTAGAAAATATTTGCAGACCTTCAACACCAGGGTTTTACAGTTTATTGTTTACGTAAAGTGGAGGGGGTTTGCCATTGTATATCATTGCATGCAAAAACCAGGAGGAGTTAAAATTGGCTTAAAAACAGTAGAAGCAATTAATGGACAACGCCTAACAACATCCTCTCTACGAACATAACAAGAGTACTCTATGAACAATACTCTAAAACATAGAACAACATGTTTTATAGTATATAAACTAGTGTATATCATCATCGTTTTAATCAGTGTTATTTGTACCCGGAAGAGTACAATATTTTTGAAATAACATTTCACTTCCTAATTCCCTATTTACCAATCTGTTACAGTTAACTATCGCTAACCAGTTCATAAACTATTTATAGTATGACGTCGTTATTCTAGTTTTTGTAATTTAAATTGAATTTACTGTAATACAATAAAACTTGTGTAAACCGGAGTTGCATCGTACCGAATTTTTTTTCCCGTTTAGGCAGCTTTTCGGGTTATATTCGAGTTCCGTTTAAGACAGGTTTCATTGTACTTTCAGTATAGTATAGGATACTTGAAAATTATAAAACAAATTGAATAATTATGAAGGCTGTTATGGCATACAAATTTGTATTCGCGCACGGATTTTATATAATTTATATGCTAATAAAAGAGAAAACGTGCTTTAAGAACATTTAAAATTTCGTTTAGCCTATATAATTATCCTTCGTATTTATTCTCCAATTTTGCCAAATAAATATTAATTATATCTTGAATCACGGATCACCTTTAAACAGGAAAGCCATTAAAAATGTATAAAAGTTCAAATTACATCGTATTGTATTAAATTATAAAGTAAATATTATTATAATTCTATATATAAAATGATATTCGAACCCTTGGGTGGGTGGCCAAGACTGTTATGGAGTCAACCTATCACTCTAGGGAACCATTTTGAAATACAGTAAAACTTGTCTTAAACGGAACTCGAATAAAACGAAAACCTTTCTAAACGGAAAAATTCGGTAAGGTAAAGGTTTTACTGTATTACTGTAGAGGGATGCGTTCATCAATGTATATAGTTATAGCCTCATCCGACCACAGATGCATCCTTGGTCCCATATTGGAAAAAGTGAAGGTTTGATTACCATAAATCTGGTGGGAAAAATGCTGGCATAGTTAAGGACTTGGCAACATGATCTAATATCAATTGTGTACAAAGACTACTCTGCCATGAGTGACATTTATCTTGGAACCGGTAGTAATAATGGTAGGATTTTGGCGAACGCTCAATTCGTATGATGGATTAGCCACTGAACTTACTCGACCGCAACACAATAAGACAAATAGACAAACCACACAATACTGATAGTTTGTTGCAGGTTCACGCCTCATCTACGTAAAATTTTCCGGGTTTTCTTCGTGTCTAACGCCTAAATAGGGGTCGGTTACTCGTAGGAAATCTCGGAAGATATTACCTCTTGACAGGTCGTCATGTGTTGCAGTATCCCACCAAGACAACCATATTCAAAGAAATTTCCCCAGAATGGTCAGTATAGGTAGACGCGAATAAATTATATCAGATGGGCGGACGAATGGGTTGGCAGCCACCCTTTACCAGATCCTAAAATTTAAGGTTTTCAGAATTTTTTTGGCTGTTTTTCTTTGGCCTATCCTCTACTTAAGTAACCACCTCACTTACTTGGCCATAAACTGTATACCCAGAAGATGGCCATATAAGTGACGTTTAACTGTATTTAATGTGGAGTTTTCACAACGCCCTATTTCACAGAACATATATTGGATATTAAACAACACGTGGCTATAATCACAAATATACATGACTAATTTTTGGTTGTCGTATTTCAATTCACAGTAGACCTATACAAAGATATTAAACCTCCATTTCTATGGACGCCATTTTATGGCACTGAATTATATAGATTTTTTTCTGTAATTCAACACCATTGCAGACAATCGAAAAACAATTTAAAGTCAATTATTTATTTCGAAAAATCATTATACAAACTCCATGTTTTGATTTTTGTAAGTTATCTCCTTGTAACTGTCATTGGGTCATAAGGCTTCTCTCGTGTCGCCATTTTGTTTTGTCTTTTTTTTTTCGGTTCTTCCGTACACGTACGCTCTCGATTTATAAATAAAATACATCAAAACCAAGAAAAGAAAATTATAGCCAAATTCCCTGGCGGATACACTAATTTGGCAAAAGTTCATTTACGGAGAAGGAGTGCGCTCCGTTTCTTTGTCGAGGTATCGCCATCTTGTTAACATAAATAAACGGTAGGACTTTTTTTTATTGGATATAAAATAGGTAATAAAATGTATTTATATAGGCATAGGTATAAAACCAAAGGTGACCGGTTACGTATAATCTGCCATTGGCCGCGTGAAATCGTTACGTCGGCTCAACCGTCAAAGTATACGAAAGAAGCATGTGTACCTTTCGTTGTTTCTCTAATTTACTGTATAGAAAGTGATTGTGACGTCAGTCGCTTAATTAATCGCCGTCCAAGTGTATTTTTCGTACGTTGCATTGTAACATTCGGTTCCCATCCGAAATATCTGGAATTATTTGATTATTCGGTAGAAATTACTTTTAGTTAATTAGTTCACGTATATACATTATGCAAATTACCTAAAAGTAACATCTACCGGTCGTCGTATTGTTATTGATGTAGATTTCATGCTCTTGAATAGATTTTTTTTATAATTTTCTATTCGTAATTGGAGTAGCATGCGCTTCTTTTGTTGTTTTGACGAAGGGTTGGAGACACCGTGGATGAAACACCGAGATGTAAATATGTATTGAAGCACAGATGATATTTTAATTTCGTTTTTACACGTAAAACTACACCGTAAATGAAAAAATAAAAGCAATTTGTTTTTATTAAATTAAAAAATTTTTTGCTTCTCCGAATATTTCTTGTATCCTTTGTATACATGCTAATGTTTTTGTGTAAGATACTTGTCTGCTTCTCGGCAATTAACGAGCACGGTCGTCTAACCTGCCGAAGCCGGTCGCGTCGGCTGCCGTGTAAACTATGTGGAATAAATTTAACCTTGTCGCTAATCTAAAGAACGAGTATGCTCGTTCCACCGGTTACTTTGACGCGATGGGTGGCCGTCGACTTAAATGTTTTACCCCGCGAAGATGGGCCGGATGGAGGAACGAAAGGACGGGATGGATTGGAGTCTAGACGAAAGATGTATATTAGTACTTTATATTAAAATAATTAATAATTTTGCATAATAAAGTAAGATTTGTGTAACTCCGACAATTACAGTCAGAGTTACACAAATCTTACGGTGAAACTTCGATTTGATTGATTTAGAATAAAAAAAAAGCATTTAATCAAATTTAAATCTTAAGTCGAAATTGATTTTTGAAATTTAGTCACTATAAATATTATAATGTCTGATCTTTCTTAAAAATATTCTTCCAATATTACAATAAACATCATTTAAATAGTTTAAATAAAGGTTACATACCTTGCAATTATAGCTGATTACTTGTCTTGTTTCTTCACTAATCTACTACAGATTAAACATTAACTGCCCAAAATTGGCCACTTATCTGGCAGTTTATCCCAAAGATTTACAATCATAAGACATTTTGAAAATAATTCTGTAAATTAAAGTGTATATTAAATTTTGAGATTGAAACTCCTGCAGCTAGACCTAAAAGTAATATAAATAATAGTCTGATATATATATATATAATTTAAAAAATATATATATATATATATTTTTTTTTTTAATGGAATATTGGCCTAATCAATGTTTCTTGTCATTGAAAAATTTGAATGGTCTTTGTTTTGTCATTCCTGTTTGGCCATTTCCAAAATTTCCTACCCCTTGTTCTACCTAATTTCTCTTTGATATATATTTTATCATATTATGTTAATATTCTTTATAAATTTGAGTTGGTTTGACCTAAAGATCAGCAATTGTTCATTAATAATGATGCAAGAAAGTGAAGCCAGTACAGTTGTACTTTGATTTCCAGACCGGACGTAATATGATGGACTGGAAAAATATATTTAGACTTGTAGACGTAGATCAGGTTGTAAGATCTTAAATTACCAGTTTTGATAAGAAGTAATCTGTCAACTTATAGTGCATGAAATCATTAATGGTTCACACAGTCTCAATGTAAGTTTGTTAACTAATTGATTCAGATTTATGGTTTACAAAGGAAATTTAAGAAGAGAAAGTATTATATATTTGTGTTTAAAATAGATTTAAAGGCTACTTGATATATTTAAGCATTTCATATAGTTATTTTTCTGATTAAATGGACTTAGAATATTTTAAAATTTATCTAAAATTATTTTATTGTATTTTTATCATTAAAAATAACAAAATAAAATAATTTTTTATTAGAAACACAACAAAAATATTTATGAAATATATATTTCATGGCCATAAATCTATTTTTTTTTTTTTTTTTTTTTTTTTAAAGCCTTAAGATGCATTCTGATTTAATTTAGTTAATAAATTCTAAATAAAATTATAAAAATTTTATCGTCATAATCTTGTACACTGTTTTAAAAGCACAGATTAAATTTTTTGAGACATAATATCTTGAATCTACTAAAAACGAGTTTAAAACAAATAGCATGCCAGATTAAGGAAACACATGTGGAGCCGTTCATAAGTAAGAATCCAACGATGACCACAGATGGCCAAGCAGTTCCGTTTCCTAAACGCTGGAACTTCAATCATGGGGGTTTGTGCCTGGCTAGGATGGGCTGGCCATGTAGCATTTTCCAGGTTTTCTTCACGTCTATAATGCCTAAATGACAGTTACCCTTAAAAAGACCTTCCAGAAGGCATGCAGATCATCCAAGTGTTGCATTGCCTGCCATAACTTAACAAATAAACAAACAAACCAAAAACATTCCATTTATTTTAGCTTATAAATTTTTACTATAAGTAATGTTTTCTTTCGTTTGTAATGGAAGAAAATGATTATAGCACACATATTAAGGAATATCAATATGGCCTTCGAAAACACCTCCAACATAACACTTATGACCTACATGTTAGATAACAAGATGTAAATGGATTTTGACAAGGCATAGCTCCTACATCGTGTGATGGAACTGCCTTGGTTTAAACATTTGAAAAGCTGCAGAAGCTTTGCAGAAATCTGCAAAGCTTTGAGAGAGGAATGGTGGTTAAGTTCAAGGAAATAGACTAATTCGTCAACCTGGAGAGCACTGTTTAAACTGGCCTAATTCAATGCATTATATCAGACATCACAACTTTGCACACTCAATCTGTAATTTAAAAAACATTGTTCTAAGATTTTTTTTTTCCTTCTTCCATTTAAGTTCTATTGGTTAAACCTGTTGATGTGTATTATAAACAGAAGGAAATGTTAGTTACAGTAAAAAAGTTTTTGTTTTTCTGGTTATTGGTGTTGGTGGTGTGATTTATTTATGTATTAAGCCTGTATTTTGACTATTGGTATTATGGTATATTTTTAATAAATTTACATAAATATTAAGTTTCATGTGAAGTAGACATTACAGAAGTTATAGAATATTTAAAAATTTGAATTAAAAGTTAGTTTCTGAAACTTTTTATTCTGATCCATGCCATTCTCTATTCAAATAGACAAAAAATTTGACTTACTTGCACTCAACTTTTATTGATAAATTAAAAAAGCAAACATTTGTATTATTCACTGAAAGACTCTGATGGAAATAACTAGAACTGTGGTTCTCAATCCATGGTTTGCGGAACACAGGTGCTCCGTGAAGCCACTTCAAGTGTTCCGCGAAAAAATCAAATATACAATTAAAAATTGTTGCAAAAGAAAAATCAATACAAGGTAAAATAATTTTTGTATGGGGATGTAATCAGCAAATGCCAATGTCGTCATCTACTAGACCAAGTGCATTTGATTTCAAAAAAGTTTGTCACCTCTGCTTTAAAGCTGATGTATTGTAAGTGTTCTGTGAAAAAAAATGTCAAAGTTTATTGTTTCCCCGACTTCAAAAAGATTGAGAACCACTGAACTAGAAGAATGGCCTATAGGTGACATCAATAGATGTTGGAATAGTAAATAGTTTATAGCGCTCCAATTAATGAAAATCATTCATGCTGGTCATCTTTCTAACTCCTTCCAGAAGAAGTTTTGAATTGAAATAACATGACTGTCTTTCTCTGATCTTTCTATGTTTGGTCTCGGTTTTCATCTAACTAACTTCATTTTCAAGATTAAAGAAAGATGAAACAGATAGATGATAGTGAGAATTTATAGGTTTACAGTTTTTTCAAGTTGCAGCCCAACAAACAGTTATTGACAAAAGCTGTTAAAAAGTGATACACAAGCTTCTGGATGCCATTTAAATTAGCTAGCATGCTTTTCATATCAGTAATGCAGTTTGTTGTTTTTTATGTACCAATAAATTAAATGGATAACAAACCAAACGGATTATTAGTTTGCTTACAGAAATCAACTTGCTGTCTTGATCTGGTGGCATATGCTAACACTTCTTTACATAATAAATATTTGACTTTTGATTTTTATTGCAGAGTTAAGTTATATATGAATAAGACACTTAGTGTAGCTGTGTCAGCTGGAAGCAGTGAACTGAATCAGTAAGCCTTGATCCACAGTACTGAATCATTTACAGTGCAGTTATTATATAACATACTAGCTATTACCCGCGGTTTTGCCCGCGAGGATTTTGCAAGCAAACCCCATTTATATTCAGTATTTCAACAACCATAGTAATTGTTTTATAAAACCTACCGCTGAGAATGATGAGAATTGCCGCAAATCAAACGAACTGTTTTCAATTTGATCAGTTTTCTGGAACGTTTACAATCATTCTACAATCGAACCGATATGCAATACCAAATTAGAATTTAAAATGGTTCAAACATTTTTAAAATCGAAATAGATAAATATATTTATAACAATGTCTGAAATGTTATCAATTTAATACATCTAAGTAATCAATGAAAATTAAACATATTTGAAAACAAAAAATCGCATCTAAAATATTACAGTAGAAGCCATTCTTCCGGTTAATCCTTAATTCTCTCCCTCTCCCCCCGTGGGGGAATTTCGACAAATCCCTTCTTAGTGTGCATTTTCATAACGTACCCTAACTGTGCAGAATGCATCTAAAATAGTACAGTAGAAGCCATTTTTCCGGATAAGCTTTAATGCTTTCCCTCTCCCCTTCACAGGAGAATTTCAAAAAATTCCTTCTTAGTGTGCATTCCCATGGCATACCCTACTAAAACGCAGATAAAAACAAAATATCACATCTAAAATAGTACAGTAGAAGCTGTTCTTCCGGTTAAGCCTTAATCCTATCCTCCCCTGTAAGAGAATTTCGAAAAATCCCTTCTTAGTGTGCATTCACATGGCATTCCCTACTAAACTGCAGATAAAAACAAAAAATCGCATCTGAAATAGTACGGTAGAAGCCGTTTTTCTGGTTAACCCTTAATCCTCTCCCTCTCCCCCCGTGGGGGAATTTTGAAAAATCCCTTCTTAGTGTGCGTTTTCATGACGTACCCTATCTGTACCAAATTTCACTTCTTTAAGTTCAGCGGTTTGCTCTGGGCAATGATGAGTCAGTCAGTTAGGACAAGTTATTTTATATATTTAGATTTGGATGTTCAGTCCACTTGTTTACTCAGAATACTTTTCAACTATTCAATTAGTCTACAGTTGGGAATGCTCCGGCTTAGAAAAAATTGTTAATTTCTCTATTTATTATTAACTAGCATTCCCTGTCACGGCCTTGCCTGCTCTTATGTACAGTACATATAGAACTTTGAAAATTTGAACTAATTGTTCATTAATTATTTATGGATAATCCACTTTGTATATGAAAACCCGTTGTAATTTTGAAACTCCAAATAAGATTATTATTATCTTGCCTCGCAGCTCTTGGCATTATTTATCAGTCAATCTCAAAAATATTCATTCGAGATAAATTCAATAACTATTTCGAATATTTTGTATGATTACCTGCAGAAATTAATCTGTAACAATTCGAAAACCCACCATAAGTACACGTACTGCCATCTAGCGTGATGACATTACTTTTTTAATTCCTCCAAGATTTTGCTAATTAACTAATTAAAATTTAATGTCAGTTCTTCAAATAGAATAGCAAACTTCAATAATAGACTTTTCTTATAGACAGAAAGTATTAATTTGTGTGTCGCCATCTAGTGAAGAGAGAGAGAAATACAGACAAAAATCCATTGCAGTTTTATTTAATTAATAAAAAATATGTAGGTTTGATTAGTGGTAAACATTCCGGGGATCATAAAGATGCTACAGTTAAAATTTGGTAACAATTGGTTCAGTAGTTTTCACAATTAGTGGTCACAAATGAAAAATATCAGGTCAGTCCATAAGTTCGTGTGCATTTTTATCTACAAAAAAAGCAACAAAAAATTTTAATTAAATCTTATTTCAATCTATAATGTATTCACCATTATTTTGTACAATTTCTTGCCATCTTGATGGTAGCCTTTTTTACATTGTTCTCATCCTCAAAAGTTTTTCCTTTTAAAAAATTCTGCAAACTCCGAAAAAGATGATAATCACTGGGAGCAATATCTGGCAAATATGGTGGATGAGGTAGAATTTCCCAGTTGAAGCTTTTGAGTTGAGCAGTTGATGTTGTCAGTTAGCTATTGACAGTTCATGTGGTATCCATTTTCCTAGCTTTGAAACTTTTCCGACTTGTGGTAGATGTCTATGAACAGTTCCATGGGATGAATTTAAACGTTCCGCAATTTCATCAACTGTTAAAGATGGTTCTGCTTCAACTAGTGCAGAGAGAGCATCATCATCAAAGTCAACGGGTCTTCCAGTACGAGCCTTATCCTCCACACTAAAATCATTATTTCTAAATCTTTCAAACCACTTCTGCGCAGTCCTTACACTAATTACAGTTTGATTATGAACAGTATTTAATTTTTTGGCTGCATTTGTAGCATTCTCATCACTTAAAAATAAAAAGTATAAAACATGGTTCTTATATTCATCTGTTACTTCCATTTTAACAAAAATAAACAACTGAAATGTTCCCAATTCTGAACAGTATTATATGAATGAGATCCAATTTAACACTTCAGTGTAAAAAGTATCACATTAGACTTGCATTTTTAACAGCAAAACAAGATTTTTCTCAAGGTCATAAAATATGCAGGAACTTATGGACTGACCTGATACGTTCTCTATATAGTACAGTAGTATTGATTATTCAGCACTTAAATAGTATTTTGCTTAATTTTGAGTAGTTAAAGCCCGTTCAAAGTAAAATGAAAATTGCAGTCAGGCCAATCATCAGAAATTATAGTCTGGTTTTTTAATTATAAATCAATTTACAGTAGAGCCTCGATTATCCGACTCAATTGGGGACTGGGGTTGGTTGGATAATTGAAAAGTCGGATAACCGAAAAGTATGAAAAAATCCATTATTAATGTAGTATATTATTAGTATATTAGTATATCGCTATTAACCTACTTTGCGTTGAATTTTCCTCCATGTTAAGCCTATCAAATTTTTTTTTAAAATAATAATCGTCACTATTGTATCGTTAAAAATTACAAAATTAAGCCTAGTTTAAATACTGGCTCCCTTTCATGGTCGATCCAGTATTGCCAGCTAAAACACGTAAAAATAATATTAAAGTAGCCAAGACATATCTGAATATTGTAGCGCCACATCACTAGCGGACATTTGAATTTGCCGACTAGAACGCGGTCGGTTAACCGAGGTGATGGTTAATCGGGGGTTGGATAATCAATGCTCTACTGTACTTATAATCATTATTATAAGATGAAAGTAATATCTACTTTTATTGACAAATTAGAAATTTTTAATATTAATCAAATTTACAAATTATTTATTTTGTAGATTATAAATTATGGAAGAATCTGTGCCTAAACCTATCCCTTCGTTCAGGGGTTCACATGGTGGTCCAAGAAATAGAGGAGGCGGTGGTGGTCGTGGTGGTGGCGGAAGAGGTCCTAGAGGTCGTGGGAGAGGAGGCCCACCGGGACGGTAAGCTTATTCTTAAATTTTTAAAAATTCATTAAAAAGATTCTTAACTAAGTGGAATGCTCTTATAAATAAATTACTTTAGCATTCTTAAATTCAATTAACATTTGTCATTCAATCCTACTGATGTTTAGATCTAACATTAAGCAGGCAAACACGAACAGTAACAAAAAAGAACTTTATTAGAAAAGGTTAGAACTGTCACAGACATCCTCGGGCAACACCCGGACAAAATCCAACGAACTTTCGCGCCTTTTCTTTTTTTACGTTGCCAGCCACTCTTGTTGGCAAGTGTTGCCAGACAGAGTTCGTGATCTTGGCAAGTGTTGCCAGACAGTGTTCAGGATCTCTGGCGCTGGCGGCCACAAACAGTTCTTTATTAATAAAAAAAAACTATTTATTAATAACTTTCTATATAAAAAACAGTCTACATGAAAATAGAGAGAGTTTTTTATATAAAATTATTTGCATTTTTTTATTTAATGTTTTTGTATTTCTCTGTCTCGGTTATCAGAGCTCCCAGGACATTCTTAAATTATCTTTACAACTTCAGACATCAATATGAAAATCAGGAATTTAATTGCCTGTGAAATATAAAAGTTTCATTTACAAAATTTAATACAGTTTGATATACTAATTCCTAGTTGTACATAGCATTTTTGGGTGGTGCCTGATTTCTGTCTATGTTTGCTAAAGTAACTACACAAATCCTGATATCACCAACCGCAGACATAGCTGTAAGTGAAGAAACATTTGTATAAAAACTTTCAGAGTTTACATTTCAGATGGATAAAAATAAAAAAAGCATAAAAATGTTTCAATTCCTAATTTTTTTATCTATACTAATATTATAAAGAGGTAATGTTTGTATGTATGTATGTAAGTTTGTTTGCAACAGGTAATCTCCAAAACTACTCATCCGATTTCAAAAATTCTTTCACCAATATTTAGAATGGAACCTCAGGGTGGACATAGGCTGTATATTATTCTGTTAAACATTCATATAAATTAAAATATATAATCTAGGTTAAGGCTTTTATGTCCAACAGATGGCGCTACGAGTACGACGACCTAAGTTTGCTTTTCTGTGAAAATGAACCTAAAGCGGGTCATCTTCTATCTATCTATATAAATAAAAATGTAATGTTCATTTGTTCCTACCTATTCCTTTGAAATTTTGACACAATGCTGCATTCGAATACGCACGTGTTTTTATGTAATATACGTGTCGAAATTCCCCCCCACTGAAGGGAGATGGTTAGGATTAAGGCTTACCGTAAAGAACTCTGCTTCTATTTATACTATTTTAGATGCGGTTTTTTGCGTTTTTGATTGCGTTTTAATAGGGTACGTCAACAGAACGTACACTAAGAAGAAATTTTTCGAAAAATTTTCCTCCACGGGGAAGTGTTATACATTTATAATAGATACATCTTGAATCACCACAACACATGGCGGGGTCTGCTAGTTGATATATGAAGTTATAAAGGTAATTTATGACAGTGGCAGATGCAAATGTACAGTATAGTACCTATAGGGAGACTACTCAAAAATAAAATTACTGTATTTGAATAATTAATAATTACCTTTCATTAATATATGCACAATGATTGTGTTGTGGGTAGTTCAATAAATCATATTTACTGTAAACATTAGCCCAGGAGTTATAGTTACAGTAATTTGAAAATTTAAGACTATACAAACAAGTCCCTTTTTTCCATGCACATCCTTTTTAATTCCAATCCAGGAACCACAAACAGCAGGTGACGTGAAGTAAAACTTCCAAAACAGACAAATACTATTAAAAAACTTACAGTTAAAAATGATCTATAAAAAAGGGTCGACGACAAGATCATTTTCAAATCTCAAATGTTTTTAGAAATAGCATTTTGAAGTTTTTATTGTATCCTCTCTTATCTGCCACTGCATACCAGTAATTTTCTTTGCCGCCTCTAGTTTAATTTGAACCAAGAAAAGAAACAGACTGGATCCTGAATGTTTTCAAATTCTGTTTCTTAACCTTAACTGGTTTGGTGAAAAATTTTTACACATAGTTCGGTGGGGTCTACAGAGCCCCTCCATGATGTTAATTGAAATTTCATGTCAAATTTTAAAATTTTATTTATGCACCTTTACTCATAACATAACTTGCAACTTAGTAGATCACTTTTTTCAATTTTCTCACATCAATTTAAAATGGATAAACAAACATCACAAGACCTGATAAATTTGTAAAGCCAAACAATCCTGGTTTATGTCAGGCTTCTTTTTCACGATTGTATTTTAATTAGTTACTAAATAGTTTGTCACTAGAAGGAGGTGTTAGGTGCCATTGTTCATTAAATTTTATATTTATAATTAAATTAATATTTATTAAATTATTTAGAATATTATGGAAGAAAAAAATAAGCCCAGAGTGGGACTCAAACCTGCAACTCTCATTTATCATGCAGATGCATTGCGGATTATGCTACCTTTTAAAAATTAAAAATAATCATGGTATCACAAAACAAATATTTATTTTGAAAAAATGGAAAGATTTACACAATAAAGTACAAAGTATACAAAATCAAAATGGTGCCAGGAAAGTGGTTTTAGCAATAATAGTTTGTCAATCAGTGTGTTACAATAAAATTAAAACTAGAAAAGTAATAACGGCTTTAGGCATTTTATTAATTTATCAATGAAAATTTCAAAATACATTAATTGTTTTTCCCTTATTAAAATTTGTTCTTGAAATTCTGTTTGCTTTTTAAGTTTAAAATTTTTTTTTACACCATAATTAAATTAAAGAGATACAAAATGATTTCAAACTATTGATTAACTTTTAAATTTATTTTATTTAGGGGTGGACAAAGAGGAAGAGGTGGTGGTGGAGGAGGTGGAAGCGGCGGCGGTAGCGGAGGTTTATCGAGGGGTGGCCCTCCATCAAGAGGCGGTGGTATGAACAGACCGCCCAGAGGAGGAATTCCTAGTGGACTCTCTATGAGGCCACCAAATGCTAGAGGGAACAGAGGCATGGGTAGAGGTGGTCCTTCTCGAGGTGGTCCTCCGAGAGGTAGAGGAGGAGGTGGTGGAGCTGCCAGAGGATCTGGTCCATTACTTCCAAGAGGTGGAGGTAATATATTATTTTTATTTTTTAATACGATGATATAAAAAAAAATTTAAATGATTATATTAAATTTTATCAAAAACATTTGTTTTTAAATTTTATAATCATTTTTGGCATTTAGAAATATCAGTTTAAAGTTCATTAGCAGAAGGAAATTAAAGCAATATTTGTAATTTAAAAAGTAAACTTTGCTCAATTGAAATTGTTTCTGAAAATTTAAAAATATTTATATATATATTGTTTTTACAAGTTCAGTACAAATCCGGATTATATATGTTACAAGTGAAATTTTGTCCATAATATCGACGGACAGTAATGAATAAGTCATTATTACTACATACAGTAGAATCTCCTTATTTTAGTGGTAACAGATCTGCTGAAAGAAAGCAAAAATGCATTTGTTTGGCATGTGGACCCAGAGAAAACATCCACAAACCACAGATAAACATGATTCTACTGTTTAGTAATGGACTTTTTGATATAACAAGTCCATAATAAAGAGTAATTACAATAAAACAGATTTTTGTTTACAATAAACCAATTTCTTTGATTTTATGGTGTTCTGTTAAATTGAGCTTTTAACATACTTTCAACCACGCATCTGAATGTGAGTAGAAACTTATGAAACTTTCAATAGGAACAATTTTGAAATGATTTCCTGAAGTCTTTGACTTGACTAATTTGTTCATGTGGCATATGAGTTGAGACTAGTGAGTGAATATGGAATATAATTCTTTATAAATATAATATGCAAATGAAATTTAATAATTTATAACATCTGTTTTAAAAAAATGCTTTATAATGAATTAATATTGAATTCAGATTTGAAATTATGGTTTTCATTATAAATTCTGTTGTGATGATTGTGAGAATAATTATCATATAAAGTATATTTGATATACTGTATTGATATTTATGTGATATTAGTACCAATATCATAGTAGTATTCAAATAAAGTTAAATATTTGACTATGTTTATTTTCAGTATTTACTGTAAATAAGTAAATTTCATTTTTATGTTTGTGGTTAAATAATTTGATATCTTACAAAGTTACCCAATAGGAATATTACCATTGATGAACAGACTGCATGATGAATTCTGACTATTTTACTTATGATCTAACAATAGTTGTCTGTACTTAAACAGCAGCTCAACATTAAATATGAATGGTATTTTTTAGCAAATTGCCTGTAACATATACACACACCTATATATATATTTTATAAAGAGTCTATTTTACACTGATTTAGATGTATGTATGTATACAGTTTAACCCGATTATAA